CCCAGCGTATCCTTGACTGGTCTTGATTACCTCTTCCTTTTCTTTCTCAAGCATGGCCGTTATTCTGTTCAGCTCCACATTCGCTTCTCTGGCTTCGTCATTTGCCGCTGTTAAGGTCTCGATGTGTTCTTCCTGTGACTGGGTCTTGTCCTCCAGCTTACTCAACTTGTCCACCATGCGTTTCTTCTTGCGGTCCATCTTTTCCACCTTGGATTCGAGTTCGGCATTTCTGTCAATTTGTGACTGACTGCTTTCAGTGAGGGCGTTGTATTTGTCGTTGAGTCCCTCGTACTGCCGATGAAGTAAAATTTTATCAGCTCTCAACGTCTTTAGTTGTTCGAAGTTGAAAGTTCCGTCTCTCATGTTGGCAATCGTTTGATGCAGATCTTGCATTTCCATACGCACTCTTGCAGCTTTCTCGGCCGCGTTGGCATCATTGGCATTGACCTCAGACTCGAGCTGCTTGTTCTTCTCGAGGAGTTTCTTGATCTGACGCTTTTGATCTTTCGTAGTGACCGCACGAATGTGATTTTCCTCGGTAACCTCTTCTGCCCGCTCGCGGACACGACTCAGCTCTAACGCCGTGTTTTGAATCGTAGCTGACCGTTCAGCATTCTCCTTGTCTAATTGAACATTTCGCGCCCGGAGAGCTTGTGTTTCGATACTGGCCGCCTGCAAGTCGTGGTGAAGAGAAACGACCTTATCTCGAAGTTGTTTTGCGATCTGCTGCAACTGTTTGTGGTTGAGCTGATGGATCTTTTCGTAGCTTGGGATATCCGTGTGGCATGCTGTGCTGCTTTTGTCCCTCAATGCGACTTCTCGATTCATCCGAGGCTCCTGCTGCAAAGCTGGAGCGTTCGTTGATGCTTTCGTCGTAGCCTCCCTATGCAGTCTTCTCCAGGTCAAGACTTCCTGCTCATGAGCCTTTTGAATGATCCGGAGTCGACTAGTTTCCCACGTTCCTCGTGACGTGGGAGTGGACTTGTCAGGGCTGGTGCACTCTTTGTCGCAACAATGCTGGTATATCTCGCCACCGCTTGTGACAGGATACCATCTCAAATGTCCTGTCCCCGGGAGCTTCTGGTCTGCTGGCGTCGGGTGAGTATCGCAGGCTCGCGCAATAACCCCACCATTGCGACGATCGTCCTGGCCATGACGGGCGATGAGAGTGATGGCGACAATATCCACAATACAGTCGCCTTTGCGCGTAACATCAATGATGAACCGCCATTGCTCGCCTGTGATCCTGAAGGTACTGCCTGCGCCACTGTACAAGCGGAGAAGGCTGACCAGTTGCCCGGCACCATTGGTAGGAAAACCGCATTCCGTATGGAGATGTTGGAAGACTGTTCTCCAGCGACGACAACAACCCGGATCGATGAAGAGACTCATGGCGACCATGTGACGTGATCTCACATTTGCTGAATGGTGATGATGGTTCGAGTAGCACTTTTGAGAGGCGTAGGGAGACTTGTTCACTGCGATGCCGGCTGACTTGAGTCAGTAACGAGAAGGCGTGAAATACTTGACGAGAGACGCAAAATTGAGCTCGAGGATGCGGAAGCAATGTGTGGGAAAGGTGGCCGTGAAGGGAAAAAGGACTGCGAGGCGACGATGAATCTGCGAAAATCCCCTGATGAATCCTCTGCAAGAGGATGTGGTTGGCACCTTGGGAGAAAGAAAGGTGAAGTCGTCGCGAGGTGTTGGGCAAAGAAAGAGGTAGAAAAGTCAGGGCCAAGCAGAAATTTGTGAAGGTGGAAGGCGGGGGCAGCTTGAGGGAAGGAGCTGCTTCACCTTCGGGAAGGAAGGAGGGAGGAGGAAGGAGCGATGCACCTGCCTTAGATGCGGTTGTTCGTGACTGCCTCAGGAAGCTGAATAGCAGCGAAGTCCGGTACGTATGCACTGATTTTGAGCTAGACATCTACAATCGTGAGTCGGTCGCTCTTAACCTCCTCTTCAGCCCCGCCGCCGTTGTCAGTATCACTGGTCAGCAGCGACATCGATTGCCTTACATGCTCTACCTTAGTGAATACAAGGCTGACAAACAGCACAGAGGGATACAACACTGAATGGCAACAAATTAAATCTGGCGTGTATTCGAGGTCTCTGCTCTACGAGATATATCTCTACCATGCCCCATCTAGAGCGCCAACCCATGCAATCATTTATAAGTACTGTACAGTTTACATTACACATTCGGTGCAAGGAGATCGTATTTAACGCAACGTTCAACCTAGAGGGCATTAGCAAGGGTACACCGTTGACAAAAACGAGTTCACTACTCACATCTTCGATGCTCGCCTGTAAGAACCGCCGGGTCTCCAGGCCAGCCCACACAACCAACATGCTGAAATCACCATGCTTCGCCATCTCGGCACCACTCTGGGCGCTCAGCTGCCGGAGAATGGGCAGGGAGCTGCTCAGGAGATCCATATCCGGGTTCAGACTGCGTCCGATGCCCTCGAGTAGCAGAATACTGATGACCACGTTGACGAAATCGCCCTCGAGACGGACATGGTGTCCGCGGACCATACCCAATACCTCCTGCAAGATATCACCAATCTTGATGTTGCCTAGCGCGAGGGTGCGGCTCTTGACGCCGAGAACGAGGTGCTGCATCTTGAGCGCAAATACCTCTTTATCGAGCACGGCGTCAGGTTGGCGACAGCGTTCACACATGAGATTGCCGGCCTTGTATCCATCAAATTCTGCGACGGCACGGAAGAGGTCGAGAAAGTTGGTTCGGTTCGTCTCGTTGAGCTCCGTCACCAGACCCGTGTCAATGAAGATGAGTTGCGGACGGAAGCCCTCGTTGTCAATCTTGCGCAGCTCGGCCGCCCATGCAGCAGGGTCCTTCCTATGGCGATAGGGCCGCAGGCGAGCGAGCACCTGTTCTGTGACGTCGTCTTGGTCTTCTGGGTGCTCCTTGGCGTGATTTCTGCGGAACTTGAGATCCGGCTCATGGGATTGATAGAAACGGACCATGATGTTGCCTGGATGCAAATCGGCGTGGACAAAGTTATCAATCAGCAGCATGCGCAGGAAGGCATCAAGGCCCTCGGAGGCGATATCGTGCTGGAAGACGCCGCCGCCATTCTCCATGAAGTCGGCTAGCGGGATGCCCTGCGCGAATTCCTCGACCAACACGTTGCGGGTGGTGAATTCGGTGTACGGGTACGGGAACCAGGCTGTCGTGCGGTCCTTGAAATTCTTGCGGAATTTGGCGAGATTGGCGGCCTCGATGCGGAGGTCAAGCTGGAGCTTCATCATCTCGCCAAACTGCGCGACCTCGTCGGGGAGGGAGAGCCATTCGATGGTGGGTATAACATTGAGGGCTGAGGCGAAGAAGTGCATGATACGCAAATCTCGGCGGACGGTCCTCTCGACGCGAGGATGCAGGACCTTGACAGCGACGTAGGTGGAGGGAACCCTCTTCGGAGTGCTCTTGAGGGCAGCATCGACGTTCTTTGCGACCTTGTGGCGGAGCGGCCTGGGTTCTTCTGGAAGGTCTGCGTCGCCGGGGGCCGCGAGACTGGCCTTGAGCTTGGCACGATAGACCTGAGCGATGGCGCCGACACCGAGGGGCTTCTCGTCGAATTCTTCGAAAATGTCGTTAAAGTCGCGTCCGTCAAAGGCTGCAGAGACGATGCGCTTGGTGTCGTGCATGGAATGCGCCGGGGCGTTGGAGTGGAGTTTGGACATGATTTCGCACATTTCGTTTGGGAAGATGTCGGAGCGAGAGGCGGCCCATTGACCGAGCTGCACGGTGTTAGTGACAATGCTTCAGTTGGAGCTGATGGTGATCGTTGAGCAGTACCTTGATGAAAGCTGGGCCAGCCCACTCCATGGACTGAACCAAGAAGCCGTACCACCATAGCGTGCCACTCCTCTCGTTGTCGCGATCCTTCTGCCGCCTGCCGAGCCACAGAGCAGGAACGGCGACGATGACGGGAACAAAGATGACGAGCAAATGGAGGAACCGCACGCCGGTGCATAGGGGCTCCCAGACGTAGACATCCACGGCAATCTTCAACGTATGCCACGCCCTTGAAATCCCACTGTCATCATCGGCGACTTTCTTCTTGATCTCGGCTCGGCTGACCTCCAGCATGCGCTTCTCGCCCGTCTGATCGGTGCCTCCATTATCCTTCTCCGAGAGCTCAAAGAAGGCTGCCGTGCCGAGAGCACCTGCACCTGCACCACCGGCTCGAAGGGTATATTTCGTGTATCTACTGCTGCTACTGCTGCCGCCGCCGGTTCGCCATGGTATCCGCCTCAGCTGGTGGGAGCTCCGGAAGGTGCTCCTGAATGTGGAGTAGAATTGGGCGGTGGTGCCCTTCGGCGCTGGAGCTCGGAAGGCCGGACGTGGACAAAGCCGGCCCAGGACGAAGGCCAGTCTCATCTCGAGGGAGGGTCGGGGGTTGATGATCGGAGGCCCGGTGTCATGTTCTCATGAAGGCAGGTTGTGAAGGTGAATTCGTTCGGTGGGGGAGGGGAAGGACGGCGCGGGAAGGGAGGTGAGGTCGCGCGGCGCCCAGGATCGCGGGATCGGGGACCACGGGGTGACGGACGAATGCGAATGGAATAGGGCGTTTTTGGTGCCATTGGGTGGTGACGTAGGGATTTTTGGTGGCACCTACTGGTGGCCTGGTGGGTATCTTCCTTTAGCTGCGGCGGGGAATCTTCGGGGGATCATGTGCCACTCGGTTCAATGACACTCGCATTTACGCTGCACCTCACTGATAGGTACCTTACTGTATACCTTAGGTAAGGTAGGTACCTAAGCACGCGGATGTCAGAATAAGTGGCACACTTAGGTAACTATCTACTTTTTCTAGCCAGATTTATAAATTCTTTTCTAATTCAAATTTAGGCTAAATACTCTAAGATAATACTAGAAGAGTCTCTAATACTTATTATTATATAAAGAATACTTTTAATTATTTTATTTTATTACATTATGCCTGTTTTTACTGCGCTGATGCTCTTAGTTGCTTGTATATGTGCCGCTTTTTCTGATAACCGCGTGCTAAGGTAGGCGCCGCGGGTTTAAGTCGGAAAGCTGTCGCGGGTCTGTCCGATGGCGACAGCGCTGTTCTGCAGGGGATGCTTTTTTTTCTCTTTCTTTCTGAGCGGGCAAGGCACAGACAGTGAGCCACTGCGGTCCCGTCGATTACGGATTCTGCACTAGGTACTGTGGAAGAACCCACCGTGGAACCTCGCCGTTTATCCACGCCCTTTTTTTCTCTTATCGTCATCTCCGTCACCCAAATCGTAAATCTTTTTTTTCCCGTCCCAAGCTTCATTCGCGATACCTTCAACCAACTTCACCACTTCACTCGTGTGCTTGTCGCGTTCACCCTGCCTTCTTGTACAATACCTTGCTTGTTCTTACGACTTATCTATTCTACCTAATCTCTTCGACTGTACATCATGGGTTGGTTCTGGGCCGATGCTCCTGCGACAACCGTCCACGCGACCTTCGCCTCGTCGCATCCTCACGGCGCTATCCCCTCCGGCTCTCCTCCTGTATGTTCAAATACCGATCCACGCAACAACTGGCATCATCTAACATCCCACAGCCCAGCTGCCCGATGCACCAAAAGTCTGCCGATGCGTTAACGACAGCGAAGCCCGCCGCACCCGCTCCTCCCTCCGCCTGCCCAGTCCCTCACGACCAGCGCCACGCAGCAGCAGCTCCTCCTCCTCCCTCAGCGTGCCCCGTCCCCCACGACCAACGACACTCCGCCGCCGCAGCACCGCCAGCATCATGCCCGGTACCCCACGACGCACCAAAGCCCGCCGAGTCCAAGGGCTTCCTCCAGCAAATCAACCCCCTAAACTACATGTTCAAGGATATCTCCCAGGCACCCGCCGAAAACCAGGCAGTCGCGCTGCCGACCGAGAGAGAGCCCTCCACGATACCCAGGGGCTCCGGCGACGGCAACTGGGAGTACCCTTCCCCTCAGCAGATGTACAACGCCCTCCTGCGCAAGGGCTACACCGACACCGACATCACGGCCGTCGAGTCCATGGTCTCGGTGCACAACTTTTTGAACGAGGGCGCCTGGGCTGAGATTGTCAGCTGGGAGGAGCGCTTCGGCAAGGGTCTGTACCGGGGCTGGCAGGCGTGCAAGCGCGGCGAGGAGAACTCGGAGGATATGGTTGAGAGGCTGAAGGATGGCAGCGAGACGCCGCCGACGCTGATCCGGTTCCAGGGGCGACCGAAGGATATGACGCCCAAGGCTGTCATGTGGCAGGTTGCCGGCTGGCTCTACCCATCAAAGTTTGAGTGTGTACCCCTTCACTTTCAAAAACATTGTTCAACAGAATGCTAATAGACCCGCGCAGAACCGAGCCTCCCTTTGACCGACACGACTGGTTCGTCTCCCGCAAGGTCGGCGGCGTCGAGAAGGAAATCCGATACGTCATCGACTATTACTCTGGCGAGCCCGAACCCACCGGCGAACCCGTCTTTTACCTCGACGTCCGACCCGCCGTCACGCCCCTCGGTGCTGCGGAGCGGCTTATTAGATGGGGAGGCGACGTGTGGTGGCGGGCTTCTGGCGCCGAGGTGCGCGAGCAGGAGCAGCTTGCAAAGCAGGCAGCGCAGAAGTAAAGACAACAAGGGGCGACGAAGAACAACGAAGCGAAGGCGAACGAAATAAAGTACCGAGATGAGAGTAGGCAGGTCTACCTGCTTGCGGCGTGTATAACTTGGGAGGCCCGATTATGGTGTTTTCAGCGGGTTTCTACTCGACGGCGGCGTTTTGACACGATACAAAGGTTCGGTTATCTGGGACATCAAAAGAAGAAGAGCATCCTCTCTTCTTCTTTTCCTCTACTCCCCCACTCCTCATGTTTTTAATACTATGCCTATAATGGCCTGTATAGTACGCCCAGAAAGCGGCATGTATTAAACTTCCTTTATTCAATGTCGAGACGAAACGAAACGAATGGAATAAAAAAAAAGATGTTTCCAATTCACATTACTTCTCGCCACAAACCTTGTTGCCTCTATTCTTTCGTGTGCTACTGCTCAACAAGCGGCAGCAACGACTTGCTGCCATATAACGGAGATTAGGTCGTCTTGGCAGCAAGAGCAGTAACCTGATCCAACAAAGCCTTACTCTCCTTGGGCGCATTCTTCAACACCTTATCCCGCAAATGATCAACCTGCTGCCCCGCCGCCGCAGGCGGGTTCCCCTGCGCCGTCTGGATCCTCGAAACCTGCATCGACAGGAAGAACTTGGGCACCTTGATCGCCAGGCTCCCGCCCACGGACCTGATCCCGGCCTCGGTAGCGACGTACGCGTCCAGCTCGTTCTGGAACTTGGCGAGGTCGTTGGAGGCGAGGGGCTCGGTGGTGGCGAACTTGTCGAGGGCGAAGGCCAGGGGCGTCTGGGAGGAGTCGGCGAAGTTGATGGAGGAGAAGGTGACGCCGCCGGCGGAGACGTCGGGGACGTTGGAGAGGGTCTTTTTGGAGGCGTCGCAGGTGATTTTGGACTCGAGGGAGGCGGCGGCGTCGGAGACTTCTTGGGGGAGGACGGTGTTGCCTACGATGAAGCAGGCGTTTTGGCGGGGGGCGAGTTGGGGGGCTGGGTATGGTGTGTTAGTTTCTTGGTGTTTTGGGTGAAAGGTGAGATGATGGGTGTTTGATCAGCTTGACTTACCTGCGAGAGCGGCACCGGCGCTGGCGGCGATGATGGCGAGAGAGAGCTGCATCGTGACGATTATGAAGTAATCCGACAAGGAGGAGATGGTTGTTGGAAGTAATGTGAAGAGGAAACGAAACGAAGCGAATGCCTTTCCGGAAGGACTGTATGAAGGAGAAGAAAAAGAACGAATAGGTTACGATTAACTTGCTGCTATCTCTTTAGAAACATGACAACTCGAGGCGGGACATGATCGCCTTTTAAGCATCACATCACATCACATCACAAGGGGAATGAGAGCAAGGGCAGACAGAGCAGGGGTGGGTGTTACGGTGGGTTGCTTGGCAAATAAGCATAGGGCCGGTATTAGGTTTCCTGTGCCTGGGCGGGATGGATCGGTCCCCAGTCTAAGTCTAAACATCGCCAAAACTTGCTCTTGTCACATTTTGCGGGAATCTGATGTGGTTTGCTTACTTGTTCCCCTGGTTGAAGGCTTTCTGGGAGATGAGTTCAAGAGTGATACCTTGGGTGATGTCAACTTACTTTTGACGAAAGAATCATCTCATGATTCTGATCATCTCAGGTTTATCTGTCAGTTACCGTAGGAAATGGTAGTTTGGCATCATGAGCCCTGTCAAGCATCGAGCCAAAATCTCGGATGATGGGTGCCGGGGATGAAGAAGGGGGAACGATTTAGGTTGGCATAGTCTCAAGGAGTCCGCGCGAAGCGTGTATTCCTTGCCGAGGGAGGCTGTACCTTGCGGCCGAATGTACGCAGGTGCCCAATTGAACCGTGACCATGGTAATATTTGCAGAGACAAGCTGCGGAGGGCAGACAAGACTGACAAGAGTCCGGAGAAGAGAAGGCTCTTTGCAACAATCCGAGTCTCGAAGGCTAGTCGGGTCGTCGCTCGATGCGGTAAGCCTGTCCCTGACGGCCTACTTTTGAGCCGCTTGTGTCTCGGGCTATTTTGTGGTTCCCTGTACCCATACCCCTACCCCCATGTCTCCATCTGAATAAGAGACCCGATGACCCAGTGTCACTCGTCTTTAGCGATAGACATGACAGGCCAACTCAAACCTTGGAATGGGAAGAGAGAGAGAGAGAGAGCATGAGAGGAAGTTGGTGGGTGGGTTGATTGGATGCGAGACAATGGTGGGGTTCACCTCTTCTTTCTTTCTTCTCTTCTCTTCCCCCTTCGCTTCAGATCCGAGGAGCACCCCTGGTCCCTGTCTCAACCACAACACCAGACGGGACGGTTTCAGGGTTCGTTGAGCCACACCAATAGCGAAACGACCTACGGGGATCGTAGGTGTTGCAGAGTTGAGGACCACGGCGCGGGTTGCGACGTCGTGGGAGAGCCTCCTCCCTTTTTTGGTCTTGGAAGGCTGGGGTGCTTGCTGGAGAGTGGTGGTATTTGTTCGTGTTCTTCCCCCTTGAGTTGGTGAGTGAGGGAGATGCGGCTCCTGTCATGGGGGCTTGGCTTCGGGACGTCGGCCGAGAGGTGAGCTGCTATTGAGACGTGAGCGACATATTGGCTCGCTTCGAGTGATCATTTCTTTTAGCTGGCAACGTTGGAGATGAGGGATTTGGATCAATGGTCGGGGTCTCAACTGGCCAGTGATCCCCGGTTCCAACGCGGGTTGGAGGCCATGTTAGCCTTTGTCAATTCGCGCAAGTCTCTGAGAACTCTTGAGAAAAGGGCCAATAGTATTTAGGAACTACTCTGTTTTGAGAGTGGCTTCAAGGGCTTTGAAGCAAAGCACGCATCGCAGCCGACTGTCGACCACGTCTTAAGTGCATGGTGACTGCAACTCCCCGGCCCATCATCTGAAGATCAACGAACCGTGCCATTGCCAAGTGGAGATCTTTCAAGTGTCTGGACTCTACGCTACATATAATACCATCTCAATTGAGTCGCCAAAGGTTTGCAGCTTCTTTCTTGGGTTCTAGACCGACATGATATTAAGTGAGTCACCAGGGCATCTTTCGTGTTGGTTGTAAACCCCACAGTCTCGCGCATATCCCACCATCGACGACCAATCCTCTGCCCAGTCGCTCCGCGGCGCAGAAAGATAACTAAAATGAACCAGGCTGATGTCATCAACGCTAAACCTCATCTCACATAACCAACGTGGCTTACAAACACTCGAGACCCACCGCTCACAGCGAGATATAAACCGACGATAAATGCGCACAATTGGATCTTGAGTTTGATATACGCATCCCGTGATAATTCATTAATGACTACATCTACAAGCCAAGTCACTTCCTCCTCACAAGCTGTCAAAATGGGCGTGACTGAATTCTCCTACTTCACCATCAAGCCTGGGAAGACAATCCCCGACGAGGAGGGTCTCTATGACCGCGTCTTGGACCTCGCCGTCAGCCAACCCGGCGCCGGAAGCTTATATTACGGCAGCTCGATCGAGAAGCCTGAACAGTCGTGGTGTTTCCTCGACTGGGACTCGGTGGAAGAGCACCTAGCCTACCGTGAAACCGAGTAAGTCTACCAACGCACTCAAGCCATGAGAAGAAAACCTCAACTCTGTGAAAACTACTCACTTACTCATCTCCCTTTTCCACAGCACCCACGCACCTATAGGCGAAGCCCTCGGCCCCTACCTAGACTGGACCCAAGGCTACATCAAACACATCACGCCCAACGTCTGGCCCCCGACGATCCTCTCCACGGCCCCCGTCACCGAAGTCCTCACCCTCTTTTTCCCGTCCGACCTCGACTCGGCCGCCAAGGAGGCCCTCACGGCGCAGCTGGAGGAGTTCAAGACCAAGGCGCTCGATACGAGCCCCGATTTCCAGGGAATTAGTTACGGATGGAGCGTGGAGAATGATGTGCCCGTTACGGACGAGCCTGGGAAGACGGGGAACTTGCTTGCTGCGTTTATCGGGTGGCCGAGCGTGGATGCGCATATGAAGTTTCGCGAGACGGAGCCGTTTAAGGAGAACATTGGGCTTTTGAGGGGGATGGAGGGGATTGTTAAGTTGGCGGTGTTTCATGTTAGCTGTAAGACGAAGAACCCTCCTAAGAAGGAGTGAGGGGGGTGTGCGAATGCGCGTAAAAGGGGGTTTGGTATGCTGAGGGAGTTATCTGTATGATGGTTGCCTTCTTACGGGTTACCATCCTATGTGGATCTACGCTTCACTCAGGAACAACTCAAGTCTATCACATAGTCTCCGAGTTTTCCTTCTGAGGTCCAGAGACGAGAACGAAAGAAACAATCACAGAGTCAAGATTCCTTACACCAGAGCTTTGGATTTCGACTAGCTGCTAACGAGATGTCCTTAACATTTGACAAGCCAAACAGATGACAACACTCTCTAGCGAGTGAATAAACCACCCACTAGCGTTGCAAGTCGTATTCCATGGCTTTGGGACTGTTTCTCATTACTGAGTAAGTATTAGCTGTGGCCTTGAATTTCAGTATATCCGCAGAGACTCAAGCTTACCGATGAGTTTCATGGTTCTGGACCACTTAGTTGCACTTGTGGCGACGGTTGTAAGCACCACCGCTGATGCAAGTATCGACGTAGTATCCCGTGGGACACTGGCAGGTGCCAGTGGAGGTAGGGCCGCCGGCATAGGTGCACGACAGCGCGCAGCGAGATCCGCCGTCGCCGTTGGTGCCGGCCTTGCCGCACGAGGCGTAGCCGGAACCGCAGAGCTGGGAGGGAAAGACGGTGTTGGCGTCACCGGCGGGGATGGTGCCCGCGGCGGCGAGGGAGAGCATGGCGCTCATGGCGAGGGTGAAGGTGGTGGAGAACTGCATTTTGATGGGTGGAGTTTGGTGGGTTTTGATGTAGGTTTGTAAAAGAAAGTGTGTCAGTTGAGTTTGTAGTGAGTGTTGTAGTGACTGTGTTGATGATGATGATGTTTGAGAAAGGCAGACATTAGCTGTGGTCTTTATAGCCTGAGAAACCGAACATCAAGAGTCGTTGAAGCCGACGAGGTCAGGCAACATCTCCACAGCCCGGAGTCCCGGCATCGTCCCCAATCAATTTGATGATGCTAGGCTGTGCTGCGAGTCTGCTGCCCGCAACATATTACGCTTAGCGTCGATTTCCATACTGTCAAAGTGTTGATCACAAGGAGCGGTATGGGAACAGGCTAATTCGTAACTACGAAATATCAGCCCTGCCTTCGGTTTCTAGATGAAGTGGAGTTCATACTGACGCTTAGCCCTACGGGGTATCCGTTCTTCGTACAAAATGTCCCAATAGAATGGATGATCCGCCCTCGGTCTCGGGAAGAAAAGAAGAAAGGGACCCGTATCTCGGTTTTTAGAGTTGTGCACGTCCTACGCAGTATATTAACTACGCTGGCTTGACGCTTGTGTTTAGGTGCTGGTTTATGACTCGAGTTTTTACGGGGTTGTGAACTTTGCACACCGGGAAATGCGAAGATCGTCAACCCGATATCCACCCCCGGACCCCTTTCTACAGCCGCGTATTCAACAATTGGAATTCGACCTAGACAAGTTGTCGCATGATAGGAAGTGGCACTCAGGTGGATACTCGTAAGCTTTTTCCAATTTGTTCTTCGGAGCAACTTTGCATCCCGCACCCGTTAACACAAAACTCAGTTCCGTCTAAGTGGCCACAGCTCAGCACTGGCCGCCATCACATTCAGCTCAACAAGAGGTTTGATTACGAGATCATGTAATCAACTACATGTCTTGGGAAGAGGAAGACATAATCGGGAATGACGGCTCGTTGTAGATAAAAAAGCAAAAGAAGACAGTCTCTATACAAGGATGGTCGGAATTTGGTATACATGTCCACAGTCGATAGACTCTTGGACGCCAAGAATGAGTACGTTCATCTGAAGTCTGTTTATTTGGGGTATTGGCATCCCATCTCAAGCACGCTCTGTTTGAATCGCTAGTTGCAGTCTGGTGTTCAACACCCTTCTCGGCCGTTGATAATCACTCTCTCTAATCAACCACAGTCCACGACCCAGAAGGGCCATACTCAATCTCGTGCGACGTAACATCTTCGAAATCAAGAACCTTTAGCGAAGAATCGTGAATCTTGTCCACCATGGCGCCCGTCTCCGCCGACGGCTGGAACCACACGGCCGCCAGCGGCTTAGGTGTCAGCGTCTCGGAGCCGGGCGGGAGCGGGCCGAACTGGCTGACGTGGACGGGGGCCTCGACGCCGTTGACGGTCTTGTAGATGACTGCCGATGCGGAGGAAGCGAGATTCTTGAAGAGGAAGCCGTTGGCGGGGGCGGTTTCGTCCATGGTGGTGACGCCGTCGGTCCAGTCTGGCGGGAGGGTCCAGCGTCCATGGTGGTGACGCCGTCGGTCCAGTCTGGCGGGAGGGTCCAGGATTCGCCAAATGTAATGGGTTGTTGAGTTGTTGCGACGTCAAATTTCACTGTTGATTTGGGATTCCCGTCAGTATATAGTCTCGGACAGATTCAGGGGGGCTAATTATCAAAGAAAAGGAAACGCACCTCCGCTTGAGAAGGCGCTCATTGTTCCTGCAATGGAGTAGTCATCTACCCATGACACGGTCAAGTTTCGAGCGCAGACTATTGCATCATATTCGTCAAACTCCAACCTAGATATGAGGAAGAGTTTCCATCCAAGTTCGTACCTGAAGAGTACCCGATGACATTGAACTTGGTAGACCCAGGCCGTGCAGTCGTGTCGAAGCCGAAGCCAAGGCATAACCTAAGACCGCCGGCCTTGAACTTCTGGACCATATGCTGGTCGATTTTGATGTTGAGCTTGTATTCCGTCATTTTGGCTGAGATTGAGAATATTTGACAAGTATTTCGAATGCCGTCTATCGAAGGAATCATCCATGATCCACGCCGACGACGGACCCCTTTTTGTAGGCTGGCCCGGCATATCTCCCCAACCCCCTATTTCTATAAGAACATCCTGATTCCGGCCAATGGCATGCTCCGGGAGAGTCTCTCGATGTCTCGTACACCACAAAAGCTGAGAACACACATGCGAATGACGCATCTGTCTCGCCCACGTTCACAGCGCAGCCGCCTAGCTAGGCGAGTGCGAGCGCTGCGAGTGCGATGTCTCACGTTCAGGCCGAAAGGGGAACAGCCCGCGGACCATCGTTCGCGCGAGTGTGTACGTTAACGGCTGCGTAGCGCCGCGTAGTGCAGCAATTGCCGTTCAAATACGATTGCGGAGCGGCACTAAAGTGGTTTGTCGCCAACGGTTCGGCAAAGTGGTGATGCGACGTGCGTGATGCGGCGCGTGTGATGAAGCCATTTCTCTGGTCGAATTCGTAAAAGGAGATGATGGACGTTTGCGAGGGTCCTTTTTTTTTCTTACCTCCGCCTTATCTGCGTTTTGAGAAACAGAGACATGTCTCTGGCGCGCTGTAGAAATCACGTTTTGGGTCGCTGTGGGACTGCATTGAGCAGGTTCGGAATTCCGAACGCTTGGTTTGAGTTGCCACGCTATCTTGAACGCCGAACATGGTGAGGTCTGAAGTCCGAACGAACGACTTGTCGTGATACAGGCCAAATTTCGCCAGTTAATCTGCCACTTAGTCGTGCTAACAAGATATTCAGCACAATAGCTACGCTGTTTGGTTTCTCTAAAGTTTGGTAGACCACAATAGGTCTATTGTCTATTCTCTGGCAACTTTTGTGAGAATAGGCAAGATTGCACTTTTGTTAAAGACACGCAGTTTATCTCTCAAAGTGGTCCAACATTTTGAATACACCTGACTTTCGAAACATTCCTCATCCAGGATCTTGTCCCATGAGATACGCTGGCTGGATTGGGTGTGCTATTATAAGATGAGACGAGGTTGAGTAGCCGAAGGCGGAGGCTTCACCGGAATCGGTTACCCTTGTGCTGAGGTTCCAAAAGGTCTGGATCTTCAGCTTCAATCTCAATGGAACTTGGATATGTTTTAGCTGTCACATGCTTCTCGGCCTGATCAAGCCAAGCTTATATTCAGCGGATCGATATTAACAATGAAGTTCAAGATCGAACTCTGAAGTCATCATCTCTTCGAGAGTAGGCATTGAATTCAGTCTGAATTACAGATGAGAATGACTCAGTTGAAGGCCACCAAGGTACGATGAAGCTATTGGCCCAGAGGTCCATCTAAGCTCAACCATCAATCATGCCTTTAATTTGATATACAGGTGAAGAAAGACCGCCGCAAGAAGTACAAGCAACATCAGGCCAGCTAAGCTGATGTATCCATCAGACTGCACAGTCTCCCGGAGGTCGACTTCCAAGTCATCCATCTCGGGCAGAAGGCCAGAATCATTCCGACTCTGAGACCCCTTCAATCCCTTCAACCTCTTCGCCTGATCACAGAGGCCATCGAATGAAGAAACCTTCTTCAATCTCTTCGAGTTGTTCGGATCATGGAGATCAACAAACCCAGAAACCTCTCTCAAACGCCTCAACGAAGCTTTCCCAAGAACCGGAGGATCTCCGCCGCTCAGTCGATACGGCCGCAGCGCCTCCAGGTGCACAGAGTGCCACTGCCGAATATTCACGTACGAATTCTTCGCCAGCGGAAGACAATGGTCGGGGAGGCAGAGCTGGGCGTCGGGCATGCCCGGGTGTGTGGCGGGTTTGATGGGCACGTATTTGAGCCAGTGGGCCCAGTCTGGCCTGTGGGCCTGGGCGATGCCGCGGGAGCCCATGGAAGTGATCTTTAGTAGAGGTCAGCACTATTCATGAGTGATATGGGAGTTTGTGGTCGTTGAGGACAAGGAATTAAGTGTTGCTCACCATGAAAACCTCAACGAAGCCTTCGAGGGAGGGAACCAAGGACATGATAACCACGGGGTGGTTGTATGCTCCTTCTTGTAGGTTGGGGTCGATGGCGGCGGGTATTTGATGCTTGGGCGGAAGCCACATGATCTGACCAGGGAGGCTTTTGGTACTTTGACGAGGTTTGGAGAGCTTTGCCCCTGGTTTTCTGCTTGTAGGGGGCATCGTATTTCGAGATCTTCGAGTCTGCCAGTATAGGTGGGGAGATGAGATCGATGAGGCCAATTCTGAAAATGAAAATGGAGGTGTTGAAGACCGCCTCAAGTCATCAAAGATTAGGAATCAAGAAAGAAAGAAACTACTGCGATGAAAATTCTTTACAGCAGACATTTTCTCCGCCTCAAATCATCTCACAGTTGAGTCTTCCGGCTGATTCTAGAGGAAGCCGAGTTCATGCTTTCCGGCTCCGTTGGTTTTGACGCTGAACTGACGCCGAGCCGCCCAAATCAAGAACAGGGGTCAGCATCCAGGTCCTCAGGCTTCGAACGGTTGGGCTGCAGCTGTGCACTTGACTTGGCTATTGGCCGTTGGAAATGAGACCCTAATCATGGAACGGCCCGAACCTGGGAAGTCTGCATGCACGAATGCCATCGTGTGTGTGAGCGCTATCATGGCATAACTGTGCCTAGTCAAAAACCTTAAAATGGAAAATCAAGGTGTGGCTTGCGTACGAGCTTGCGATGTAGCAGCTCATAGGGATGAGACCTCAATGATGGCATTGGAACTACCTTGATGTCGTATATAAATGTAAGTATCGAGATAAGTTTGTGTTCACGCGGCATGAACGAAACTCTATCGTGAGCCTGCACAGTACACTCATTCATATGGAAGATCGTTTAAGATGAAGGAATCTTTCAAAATAGCACAGGAGGGGCGAAGATGTGCCAAGCAAGCGAAGCGGCACAGCTACTCATCAAGAAGAATCGCACCTCGCCCTATCTCAAGGAACCAGAATTTCACAAAGCTCTTCCTCAAAAAGCCACTTGAACAGAGAGAAGAAGGGGGCAGAAAATATGTTTCAACTTCCGACAGGCTTGTCTACCTAACTCTTGTCAAGATGGGTGTGGGTGGGTGGTGCAGAGAAACACAACCAGGGTAGAGTGTTCAAACCAACAAAGAAGCATTCACCCTCACTCTCACTCACTCTAGTCACTCTTCTTCACTGAGGCGGTAAAAGGCACCTCTTTCAAAGCCCCCCGAACAACGTTCTACCAGAACACATATCCTTTGTCACTCTTGGGAGGGCCCAGAATGGTTCATCCACACTTGAAGGGGAAGAAAAGAAAAAGAGATCAAATGGGAACAAAATCTTTGAATGCCCGTTTCTACCATGGCGTTAATCATTTCATGTCCTTTCCTGACCACGAGCTCTTCTTCAACTCCATCTTCTCGAGCATATACACATCTCATCAGATCCAAGATACTCCGCACACATATCACCATCACGGAGACGAGTATCCCCTCCATCCTTCAAAGACTGAGAACCATCAACCTTGGCCTCCTGCCCCAACCCATCAAAGAAACTTGACGATGTGCTACAAAGTCCACACGCACACAATGTCGTGCGACATCCGCCCAACCATAACATCAACAGCAACCCTCTACATAAACCCCTACCAGACACCTCCCCGCTGTCCCTGCCGCCCGTCCTCCTCCTCCCCATACACCTCCTCCTACTATCACCGCTCCTCAACACCAAAAAACTCCCGCCCCTGTCCCTCCCACGCCTGCTGCAGCCTCAACCTCATCCTCTACCGCTGCCCAGCCTACTGCCGCCAACCAACGGACTACCACCAATACACCGAATCCTCCACCACCACCCAGCAATATCACTACCCCCAACACACCTCCCGCGCAGCATACTCATACTCATACTCCTACACAAACGACCACACGTACCCATACTCACCACACTACCCCCACACCTCCCCCCGCCTACGCTGGCGCACACTCCGCATCTTCGACCGGACCCCAGACTTCCACGCTCTCGAATCCGCCGACCTCCGCTTCACGATCTCTGAACTCGTCGACATCGGCGGGATCCTCCTCCACGCGGAGTCTGAGCTCGAAAAAGCGCGGCTGCGAGTAGACCGCGAACGCCGGCGTCACGATGCCGCGCACGGGCGGTCCTGTGGGCGCCAGCGGGAGAGGGAATGTCCCTGGACTCGACGTATCGCAGAGATGGCGCTCGAGGCGGACGATATCAAATTCAGCTCTGAGGTGCTGGCGGATTGCTGGGTGAAGTACGTCGGGTTGCTGAGAAAGTATGAAGGGCTGGGACAGCGGCGGGTGAGCGGGCTTATCGAGGATCGCGGACATCGGCGGCTGCGGAGGAGCGGGGTCGAGGTTGAGGTTGAGGTTCCTAGGTTGGATAAGGGGAAGCCGTTTCGGTATGTTTCGCGGGAGAGCTGGACTCGGGAGAAGAGGGTTCCCGAGGGGGATCGGGAGTGTTGTCGAGAGTACAAGGGACATGGTAGACCGGAGGCGAATACGGGGCGGCGTCGGTCGGTGAGGTTTGCGGATGAGGTTGGTAGTGGGAAGGGGTATTTTAGTGAAGGCGGGCGGAGTCGGAAATGGTCGATGTACTAGATTGCTGTCTCGTCTTTCCGTCGAGTTGCTACGGGGAGTTGAATGGTTCACGATATCCAAGGCGTGGGCGCCGGGTAGAGTAAACGTCGCTTCATTAAGTTTTGCGTCGAGATGCTCTAAATGCTATATGCTTGCAAGAGTACCGCCCAATGCATGTCCATGACTCCGAGCTCGCTAATACGGGGTTTCCCAACCATGCTGTTGACCCTAAACAAAAACACAATTCCTGCTGATGACTAGTAGACGAGCTTGAATTCGACATCCGACTTGATGGCCTTCAGAGTCTCCGGGATCGGCAGTGGATCGTAAAAAGGGTTTGGACGGAAAGTCACCTCCTTCAACTTCGGTAGGATGGCCTTGCTTTCGAAAACAAGCTTATATAAGGCGTCCTGCAGACCCTTTTCGTAGACTGCGCGTTCCTTTGCGGATAGCTGGTCGACCTCCACATCATGCCAGAGTTCCGCCAAGTCCAGAACCTCCACCGTTGGCGGCAGTCGCGAGATCATGTCAATCTTCTCGACCCACTGCGGCTTCCCGTATAAGATTCCAATGTCGAGTTTGACGTTGCGCAGCGACTTCATCTTGGGAAGTATCGTGAGTGTGCCATCTCCGCCAACGTGTTGCGAAAAGTTGCCGGCCAAGATACCCTCGAACGAAAATGTCTCGAGGGTATCGGCCACCAGAGACAAAGCCGTGTTCAGGTTGTGTTCACCGTCGGCAGGCTGTTCGGCTACACCGCTGGGACCCATCTCGAGGAGCTTGAGATTGGGACAAAGGGCGCATATTGCGTGCCATCCTTGGCCCCACATGCTGCTCCGAACAAGTCGGAGTTCCTCGACATTCTTCCAGCTACCGTCGTCACCCCAACCATCGCCGGGCTCCAGAACGGCAGGGCGATACACGGCTGAACCGAGCTCCACGGAGCGCAAGTTGGGTAGCCGCAAAAGGCACGGCAACTCACGGCGCGGCCAGAAGCTTGCACCGGGAAAGTCCGGCATCGGCTCCAACATGACGCGGGTGAGGGAGCTCAGAACGCGCGGGCAACCCTCGGCGGTCTCGATATCAGGGGTGAGAATGGCTTTGAGCTTCTGGTACTCTCCGGCGGCAAAAGGCATGCGCATGTGCAGGGTGCGCAGGTTTGGTCTCGGCGGTCTCGATATCAGGGGTGAGAATGGCTTTGAGCTTCTGGTACTCTCCGGCGGCAAAAGGCATGCGCATGTGCAGGGTGCGCAGGTTTGGTGACGAGTAGAGGATGAGCGCAAACACAATTTGGGCGAATTCAAGCTCCGTCTTGGCGTCACGCACAAACGTCTTGATGCGGTCCGGAAATCGGGGCGAGGCTTCTACGAGGCGGCGCCATTCGGTGCGTTTATACGGGCAGAGAACGTCTGTCGGATAGTGATCGGTGCCTAAGCAAGAGACGTAGGAGAGGATGCGCATGTTGTCGCCCAACTCTGGGCGTTCGAGCAGGGTTTGGAGGAGTGACTGAAGCCGTGTTTGACCCCATAGATACACGGTTTGGTAGAGGAACGGTATTGCCAAGTCCGAGAGCCGGCGACACACGAACGCGAGGCGGTAAAGGGCGACGCGGTTGGTGACAACGACACCATCTGGGTCGGTGTATGCCTGGAACGGAATGTCGAGGCCATCGAGCGGCGGTGTCAGGTGGCCGACAATCTGAAGCAGGACCTCATCGGGGAGAGCAAGTAATGACAAAGATGAGGCCATCGTGTGAGAGGAGCCGGTGAGCGGTGAGTGGTGAGTAAGTGAGTGAGAAATTAGGAGAAGTAGTCGTCAAGTCGAAGGGAGAGTGGTGGAAAGGTGAGTGAGATATTAGATCTTGATTAGGCGGGGTTATGTGCCGGAGTGAGACAGCGTTGAAGTCTGTGACCGGACGAGAAAAGTTCTAGACGAGACGAAATAAACGAGAAAGAGACAGAGAGAGACGTGTGCCCAGGCCTGTCTCAACCAACAGGTGGTTGACGGGGGAGGCTGAGCAAGATGAAAGCGAGATGGTGACCTTATGTAAAGCAGTCACTTTACTTGGCGAAGCGACAGCGACAGCGACACATGCCAGCGAGGTTAAGGTAGACGAGCACGCAGGGTTTGACGAGGGAGAGGTGGAAGGGCTTGCAGGAGGAGAAAACCGAGAAGAAAAAGAGGAATTTAGATGAGACGGGCGCGTGGCGTAGCAAGATTCCCCCAGGTTTTCCGCTCCGATGCACTCCACCAAGAACCCACCGTGTCAGGGACTCCCAGGCTTCGAGAGTCTCCGACAACGAAGGGGCCCCCTTTTGACGATCCGGATGCGGCGAGTGGAGGGGGTTTGGTAACTTGGTTCAATCTGCGAGAAGCGGATGCGGATGGGAAAATGGTGTGGAGGAAGTGTAAGCAAGTAAGATACTGGGAGGCAATAAGAAAAGATGGGCCTTGGGTGCCATGGGGATTTGGGTGTGGGCGGAATCCCATCTTATTGATTGTTGCTGTCCCGAGGTCCTTGTCATCCAGATGCTTCTGCTGCCATGCGCGGCAGGATACGTACATGCATGCATACCTACGGATACATCCAGCCTAATACCTTATTACTTTGCTGCTTTGTGGGTTCGTGCGTCTGCGTATGCGCTGGAAGAAATTGGAATATTCTGTACACGTATCTCGGACGGGTTTCGAAAAGGTCGATGAAGCTTCCCGGGTTCGAAGGCCACCTCCATCGTGGAGCAAGACTAGAAGGCGAAGATACCACAAGTACTAGAACAGCCCGCACTTGCAATAGCAACGGGGGACGGCGGTGGCATCGGAGGAATGACGTTGCCGGAAGCGCACCCGTTCCTCGGCGATCATTGAGCTGTCTGGAGGCTTGGCTGTAACTACCCTTGATTTGGCGTGGACGAGGTTGGGTGACAACGCATGGTCTGCGAACGAACCGATCGGGATGCCAGGGCCGAAGGGTAAACTGTCTTGTTGATTAGCCACTTGGTAGTGTTGATGGTCAGCGAGGACACATTGGATGAAATAGCGTCGCAGCCGTGGTCAGTGAGGAATTCGAAGCGGCAGAGAAGTGAGCGCAGAGGAAGAGGAGGAAGGCCTTCACCTGAGGTGGGCTGCCCAAGTTGCAAGGTGAGAAAGGTGAAAAAGAACCAAAGATAAAAGAGTGGGGGCACTGGATGGAGGGGTACCCCAATTGGGGCTAGTGCAGAGACGTATACACGGGATCCACCCTCGGAGGGCTGGAAGCGAATGATTGGCAGATCCCCGCGCCGCCTCCCTTCCGCCCCTTGACGCTGTCGTCCCTCACCCAACACCTTCAAAGTCCAGACATCCCATCCTCCACGCTGACTGACATCAACTCCCAAGTCTTGACTCAATCTTCTTCAGACTTTGTTTCTCCACCGCCTCGACCAGGAGTTGGAGATGGTTGCAGTCGCGTCCAATGTGGAAAGTGCATTGCTTCAATGACAGGTCTGGCAGTTTGATGCAGTCATGTTGGTGGCTTGGCACCTTGGCTACGTTGGGGCTAAGAGACTACAGAACTCCAGACTTACACCGCAATTACCTGCCTAGTGCCTACCCATCCTGAGTGCCATTTGGCTTGAACTGTCGACAGGAGAAGCTTGCCAGATGGAAACACGGCGGTCACGAGGGCCAGACCACATAGCAGTGCGAGCGGTATGGTTATGGGAAATGATCCAATTTATCACGCTATGGCAGATCCGGATCGACGTGTTTGTTTGCAATCTGGCCAGGTTATGCATGTCTTGGCATCTCCCTTCTTTTGCTGTCAACTTTCATTGCTAATACCTACCTATTCATGCAGGTAAATTCCATTCCTTTATTGACCGTTGGAATGTGAATTTCAAGGCGACTTCGACAATCCCGACAACGCTTTGTTCTCGGCACTCGATCATGTCGCTGTCTTCCCTGCTTACCTAAGGTCATACCGAGACTGGACACCTGGCCCCACAGCTCGCGCGACTATGAGGCTCAGGCACCCAGACGTTTTACCCAGGCATCCAACTCCCGAACGCCTGCGTCCGCTTGCTTGCGGATGTCTCCTATTACCACTCACACTTGATCACTACCGCTCCCGCAGACACACCAAAATCGCCTTCTCCAACAGGGGCTCCCCAGTCATTCCGAACAGCACCGTTCCTCGACTCCAGAGAGATCACACCACTTTCCGGGCCCTTACGGATCTGCTCCGTCAGGGATCCCACGCTTAAAACGTGGTCGACACCGTTGACCCCTTACGGAGTAATCCAGGGTCTCTCCCAGGTTCCCACTGTTCCGTCGACCTGGATTCGCTTTCAAGACGACGACACGCCATCGCCGCCTACCTTATTCAGTGCCATGTCTCTTCACCGTCGTGTCGAGGGCAAAGTCGACGACTCACACCGTGCAACCTGCCCGCCGGCTACCTAGGTAGCTTTCCTCGTTTTCCCGACTGCTCACGCTGCGGTCCATGTGTTGTTGTGAAACTTGGGACCAGCTGATTCCAAGACAGAAGCTTGTTTTTCGTCTCCTCGTCGCCGTCTGGGACGAAAGTCTCCCAGACGAGCCCGCGCTTGGATAGCAAGGCATTGTTCGGCATGCCCTCCCCCCCCTCAGAGGTTTATCTGAAGCCAGACTCACACAACCCGAAGAAAGAATTTTGCTCATCCCCAGCCCACTCTACCTCCAGAGTCTCGTCGAAAGTTGTCCACGGAGCGTCCTGCGTGCTGCAGCAACCCCGGCAAAGAACAACCTAGAAAGCTATGATGACGGTCAAGTTAACCTAGGTCTCGTGCTGCTTTACCTCATTGAGGTTAGCTTTCGATTCTGGGCAGAAATTGGCTGAGTGGCCAATTCACATCGGGGACCATCTTTGACACCCTCACGATGACCCATCGTTGCCGGCAACTCTATCCAAAGTTTGTGGGGAGCGGTGCCCAGATTTGAATGGCTTTCAACTTGCAAGCGCCTTCTCCTCGCCGTGAGCCACTAGCTATGGGGGCTTCGTCACCGTCTTCATCGCGACTACTTCACCATTGTTATTCCTACAGAAGTCTGCAGGTTCCAAAAGCGAGCCCGCTTGTTACGTCTACGTGTTGAAGCTAGTCAATACTGCGACTATATAACCTCAGTACGATCGAACTGCATTGCAGCGAGCTTGACGAACCATGCCCCAATTCAACCAATCAGTCAGCCTCAGGGCGCCACAACCCATCGGTCTCTTGCCCAGGGCATAGCGCCGACTCAGGCTCGTCGCTACCGCTCACGCTGTTCATGGACACCACAATTCGTTTCCGCAGCCTCGATGGATTATATCGGAGGGGTCTCGGCGCTTCGTCATTCTCCGATTCACTGCTGCTGTTCTGTTCATTGCTGGAGCTCTCATCTCGCGAATGTTTACTGCCGCATACCGAGTAGACCGGCTGGCCCCGAGACTTTCGTCTCCCTGGGCGTGTTCCCTCTCCACGCTCTTTACATAGAATGGCAACTGCAGTGGGCACGCTTCCACTCCCAAGGTCTCTCATAACACCCAACGCTTCCTCTTCCGTATGACCCTGATCCAGCAGCCCCTTCATCTTGTCCCAGAAGGCCTTGCGGCGAGTGAACCATGAACGCCCATACGTGCCGTTTCGCCACTTGGCCCTGTACATCTTCTCTAGCAGTTCGACGGGCTGTTGGCCATGGAGACCGTATTTGTATTCTGCCCACTGCTCTTCGACTGTCGGCGGGTGCGGATAGAACTTGAATATCGGCCGCAGAACTCCATCCTTGCCAACGACAGTCAGTGGGCTGAAGTATTTCGGGTCATCGTACGGGTTGACAGGGTCTCTTGGGGATAGCAAGTTTCGTCGAGGCTCTTCACGGCGAACAACAGCTTCATTGATAGCAATGTCTGTGACTTGCCCGACTTCGGGGGATCTGGATCCCAGTGCTTCTGTCTCCACCTCCAACACCTCCCCCTTGTGGTCCTTGCTGTCATTGGTATCGTCATTCTTTCTTCTTCTTTTCTTCAAAGGCTGATTTGCACGTCGATTCAACGCAACTACCCGCGGCTTAGGCGCTTTTTTGCCAGTGCTTCTTCTTACCACCGATGGTGACGCCCCAGTGGCCGCTGGTTGTGACTCTTGGCTCTCATGGGGAATCCGAGGACTGGGTTTCCGAACTCTGGACGCCACTGTGATGGATTCCCGTCCTGGTGGCGGCACATCACATCTTTCAGCAGGCACTGGTGGCGTTGAAGATGGCGTTGGGAGGGCTGCAACTCTCTCATGGCCATCTTTACCGCCGTCTTGCTGCGCGCAATCTCTCACTGCCGCATCTAGTGGATCGACTCCAAAAACTTCCTACTACCAGTCAGCATATCCAAGGCAGCAGCCGATATCACCTCAAAGATAACCAAGCGAGCCAGCTAGGCCGCCGTATGGATAGTCGCTTACGACAGAAAACTTACCTTGACGACTGAAGTCAAGACGTTGAGCTGCTTTTCCAACCTCCTATTGACTTGGTTCACATGCACCGCCATCTCTCGATCTGTTGCTTCTTGTCGCGCCTGCAACTCCCGGACTTCTTTTGTGTACTCTTGCTGCAGTCCAATGACTATTTGTGCGAACCCTTCCTCATCCGGTGGCCCAGTAGCCAATGGCGCAGCTACACTTTCTGATTCTGGTTCATCCTCGCTGTCCGAATAGTCGACCAGCCGTACTTGGCTCCGTGCCTTCATGTTTAGCCGTCGTGAGTTG